ATAATAATAATAATAATAATAATAATAATAATAAAAAAGTTTCTTGAGCAGCAAATCGGCATATTATAATGATTTCTGAAGGATGTGACACTGAAGACTGGAGTAATGATGCTGAAAATACAGCTTTGATCACAGGAATAAATTACAGTTTAAAATATAATCAAATAGAAAACAGGTATTTTAAATAGTAAAAAACATATTTCACAATATTACTGCTTTTGCTGTATTTTGGATCAAATAAATGCAGGCTTGGTGAGCAGAAGAGACTAATTTAATAAACATTAAAAGTTCAAAAACTTTTGACTGGTAGTGTGTGTTGCATTGAAATTTATATTTTAAATTCGTCTAAATAATTTACTAAATAATTTCAAAAAACAAAATGAAAAAGAAACTTGTAAAATATATATTAGATTTAAGAATATACATATATTTTATGAAATAAGAATACATATTTATTTTTAAAAAAAATGCATTTCTCCTTCAGATAGCAACTTTTTGATTCTGTAACACTAGTATGATATAGTATAGTATTTCTCAGAAATGAAGAAGTAGAACACTGTAGTTGTTAATATATTAGACAAAACTGTTAAAGTAAATAAGGACAGAGAATAAGTGCTTCTTTGCTTCTGCGCTCAGGTGTTCTCAGCGCTGTCAAAATAAAAGTCTTGACAGTTATCGGCCAATGCAGTGAATTACAAAAATGCTGAATATTAGCCAATATAGACCAATTTGGAGTAGACGTCGACATTGTGGTGGCAGAAAAACACTGGGAACAAGTGGAGGGAAAGGGTAAAATCCATAGAATAAGAGAAAAAAAAATGTATTGTTGTACCTTTGGATGTCAGAATCGGAGTGCAAATCATTTTTATATAACACTGTCGTCAAAGACAGCATTTGAAGCTAAACGCAGACATTTAAAACGGATGGACTACGGATGAAAGCTGCTATGATTACCCTACTTTTAAGGCATCATAATCATAAGCTTCATAATATTCACATATGCAGTTCATAGGGGATATATTATATTAGCCCTACAGTTACAGCATGAAATAGCCTACTGTTTAAACCTATAACGTTTAACTATTTTATCTCACAATTCAGATTTTTTTTTTTGTTGTTGTTTCTCGCAAAAGCAAGTTTATATCTCCTAGTTCGGACTTTATGACTCAGTTTAACTCAAGTTTGTCAATTCTGAGAGAAAGTGTGTGATTATAAACTGAGCCGAGGGGAAAAAAAGAGAATGACGAGTTGATTGTGAATTGTGAAATATAATCTCGGAATTGCGAGAAAAAAGTCAGAATTTTAAAAATTATACTGACTCCAAGCTTTTGAATGGTAGAGTGTATAATGTTACAAAAGCTTTTTATTTCAGATAAATGCTGATCTTTAGATCTTTCTATTCATCAAAGAATCCTGAAAAAATGTAATCAACTGTTTTAAATATTAATAATGATAATAAATGTTTCTTGAGCAGTAAATTAGCATATTAGAATGATTTCTGAAGATCATGTGACACTGAAGACTGGAGTAATGATGCTGAAAATACAGCTTTGATCACAGGAATAAATTACAGTTTAAAATATAATCAAATAGAAAACAGGTATTTTAAATAGTAAAAAACATATTTCACAATATTACTGCTTTTGCTGTATTTTGGATCAAATAAATGCAGGCTTGGTGAGCAGAAGAGACTAATTTAATAAACATTAAAAGTTCAAAAACTTTTGACTGGTAGTGTGTGTTGCATTGAAATTTATATTTTAAATTCGTCTAAATAATTTACTAAATAATTTCAAAAAACAAAATGAAAAAGAAACTTGTAAAATATATATTAGATTTAAGAATATACATATATTTTATGAAATAAGAATACATATTTATTTTTAAAAAAAATGCATTTCTCCTTCAGATAGCAACTTTTTGATTCTGTAACACTAGTATGATATAGTATAGTATTTCTCAGAAATGAAGAAGTAGAACACTGTAGTTGTTAATATATTAGACAAAACTGTTAAAGTAAATAAGGACAGAGAATAAGTGCTTCTTTGCTTCTGCGCTCAGGTGTTCTCAGCGCTGTCAAAATAAAAGTCTTGACAGTTATCGGCCAATGCAGTGAATTACAAAAATGCTGAATATTAGCCAATATAGACCAATTTGGAGTAGACGTCGACATTGTGGTGGCAGAAAAACACTGGGAACAAGTGGAGGGAAAGGGTAAAATCCATAGAATAAGAGAAAAAAAAATGTATTGTTGTACCTTTGGATGTCAGAATCGGAGTGCAAATCATTTTTATATAACACTGTCGTCAAAGACAGCATTTGAAGCTAAACGCAGACATTTAAAACGGATGGACTACGGATGAAAGCTGCTATGATTACCCTACTTTTAAGGCATCATAATCATAAGCTTCATAATATTCACATATGCAGTTCATAGGGGATATATTATATTAGCCCTACAGTTACAGCATGAAATAGCCTACTGTTTAAACCTATAACGTTTAACTATTTTATCTCACAATTCAGATTTTTTTTTTTGTTGTTGTTTCTCGCAAAAGCAAGTTTATATCTCCTAGTTCGGACTTCATGACTCAGTTTAACTCAAGTTTGTCAATTCTGAGAGAAAGTGTGTGATTATAAACTGAGCCGAGGGGAAAAAAAGAGAATGACGAGTTGATTGTGAATTGTGAAATATAATCTCGGAATTGCGAGAAAAAAGTCAGAATTTTGAAATAAAAACTCGAAATTTCCTTTTTTTCCATGGCTTCCGTAGACTGCTACTTTAAAACTGTCATTTTCTGCCACCAGATATGCTCCGCCCATAAAAAATGTCATCACTTGTCACCAAATTGGTCCATATTTCACCCATGGCAATATATTTGTCAATCACTAGTCACTGAGTATTTGCTCGACAAAGCGCATGCTGCTTAAGTGATGAAATGAATGCTTTTGTCGCTGCTTTCTCATTTTAGTCATTAAATTAGTGAAGACCAGACAAACGTGATTATGGACAATAGTCATTGCATTTGCTGTGGGGTCACAGTCACAGCCACAGTCACGTCATGCCCCACAAACCATCTCTGATATTTTCTAACAATACAGAAAAGTGCATTTCCAGTTGATCGACAGGAGATCTCAGCAGTGACTCCCTCCCTCCCTCCAGATTGTTTTAGACTAATTATATCAGGGTTAACCAACTAATCGCTTGTTGGATGACTAGTCAACAATCCTTGCCCATGTGTGCTTTACGAGTCCTTTCAGTGACCTGTCCTTGGCTAGAATGATCTGCAATGTGGGCCAGGCTTTATGCTGATGGCTCTGTGAGACTAACACAAGTGTCAGCGTCTCTGTCTGTGTGTGACACATTAGGGAGGCGCTGCTGGCTGAGATGGGTGTGTCTGTGAAAGAGGATGGAGGAACAGTGGGTGTCTTCTCGCCCAAAAGAGTGAGTCAACTCATATTTATTTGTAGAGTGCGGATCACAATGCATGTTGTCAAAGCAGCTTTAGAGGAAGTGAAGGTGCGGTCACGCTTACTGTTGTCGTATGTTCACATCATTTCAGTAGGAATTCGCACGATTGGGAATTTCACATGAGGCTGAAAGATTTCCATCAGATTTAAGTTGGAAGGTTTGACTCACTGAGCAACAGGAAGCTGCTTGGTTTAAAACTATCTTCTGTGTCAGCTGTGCTTCATGTATCAGTGTTGACAATACATAATCGACCTTTTTTGCCCATTAAATTTTCCTAAAGTGACCACACCTTATGATTTCTACACATAGCGGCCCTTTCACACAGAATGCGTTTTTCGTTCCACTGTGCTACTTTTCCATTGTTTTCTTATGTGAATGTGCAAGATGGTTGTGTTTGACCATTGCATTTGTGTCTTTTGCAGCATCTCGTGCATGTCAAGGCTTCTCAAACGTCTCAAGACCTTGCATTTTTTCCCCATTCCACTGCCCACGTCTCTCATTTTTCAAAGCAAAAACACATTCTGTGTGAATAGCCCCATACTCACTATCCTAGCTCTTAATGAGCCCGATTAGGTCCAAAATGCATGAGTTTAAGCATGAGTTTTTTCCTCAGACGCCCCACCTGGTGAATCTGAACGAGGATCCTCTGATGTCAGAGTGTCTGATCTATTACATTAAAGATGGAGTCACCAGGTGAGCAGTGAGTTTCTGAAGGAGTGGTCAGTTTCGTCTTAGCGGTCAGTTTATAAAGGAGCTGCATTGCGTCTTCTGCAGTGAAGTCAATGAGAATAACGAGGGTGAGAGTGATCGCGTGACATTTGTTGCATTCACTTTGTTTCACACAAATGTAAAGGCAACGTTACAAAAGATTTCTGTGCTTTGAGTAGCATCAAATAAACCTGAAAACAATGCATCATGGTTTCCACAAAAATATGAAGCAGCTCAACTGTGTTCAACATTGATAATAATCAGAAATGTTTCTTGAGCAGCAAATCAGCATATTAGAACGATTTCTGAAGATCATGTGACACTGAAGACAGGAGTAATGATGCTGAAAATACAGCTGCGCATCACATTTTAGCTGATATTCACATAGAAAACAGCTATTTTAAATTATAATAATACTTCACAGTATTACTGTATTTACTGTATTTTTGATCAAATAAATGCAGCTTCGGTCAGCATATAAGAGAGTTATTTCAAAAACATTAAAAAGAAATCTTACTGACACCAAACTTCAACCAAAGTTTATGTGTCAAAAATCATGTAATCGATCAACAATCATATGTAGACCTGTATTTTGCTACATCAGCAAATTATTTTCTGGACATGAGAATGACAAAGCACTTATCTTCCTATGCGTATGGGTCTGTGTTCAGGTTATAGTCTCGGAAAATGTAAAAATGAAATGACCAGAAAACCAGATGGTCTGATCAGCCTTTTAGACCTGCTAGAAATCATGTGAAACCTGTTGTTGTTTTTTCCTCAGCAGGCTTCCCTTGCTAATATCTTCTTTCTCTTTGAACCCTCTCTCTCAGACTGCAGGATCTGGAGAATCAGTACCGCAAAGAGAAGGAGGAGGCCGACCAGATACTGGAACAGCAGAGACTGGTAAGAAAAGACACTGATTTCTACAAAACGCTGCTGCTGTTTGAAATCACTGAAACAAACACGCCCCTACCTAAAAAGGCTGGGTAAAAAATATATATTTCTCGATTTTAATCGATTCTCATTTTTAGGAAATGATATCGACTCTTAAATCCCAAGAATCGATTAGTCTCACCTGTCAAGATAATGAACGGAACATTGTAGCGCCTCCCATCCAATACAGTGCAATAAGCTTTGCGATTTGTTACTTTTGAAATGAAACAAAGTCTCAGATTTCGAATTCTGTCCATTTTATTACAATATTTAAATATTAGATTCCGTTTTGGCGCTGTTTGATGTGGAGTGACAGATCGCTGTGAACTGATCATCTCCTCCGCTTTAACAGCAGTTACAGCATGAAATAAACACGAATGAACATCCGAAGGTGTTAAAAGAAAGAGTACGACTTACTTAAGAGTACAACTCATGTAATCGCTCAATCAGTGTTTCAAACGTGGAAAGACGATAATAGCTTGTAAACAATCTGTCACGTAACATCACATTTACTACAGAAAAACACATTCAGTGACCATGAACTATGTCAGCTAGAAAAATTAACTCTAGAGAGGAGCATTTTGCTTAATATGCACCATATAACATATTCATTATAAATTTTTTTTGTTTATGTTTGAATAAATCCGTCAGGTTTTTGTGACAGCCACCATTTAAATGTTTATATTTCAAAAAAACTAATTGGAGTAGAAAAATAATTATGTAATTTAAAGTTAATTTAATATTACAAAAACTTTGAGTTTATTTTAAGTGTTTGTATACAAATCAGCAAATTTCAACCTTCCATATTATTGACTCTCAGGTATATTTTACAGCATTAGTTGAGAGATTATTTTTTTTCCTTGAGAAAATTTGCCATGTCCTGTTCCTGATATATATCCAAAATAATCGATATTGAATTCGGAATCGAATTGCAAGCTTGTGAAGGATAATCGAATCGAATTGTGTAATTTGTGTCAAACCCAGCCCTAGATCACACCCTATCTTAATAGCCCCGCCCCCAAAGTGCTGTGCAACACTGGCACCTCCCCCATCATGAGTGGACACGCCCCTTACAGCTGATTGGCTACAAGTAGTACATAGTTTTGGTGCTCCGTCCAAAACACAGTGAGTGTGGATCACACTCACTGATCCACTTTCAACAGCGTTTCTCAGAAATCACTTACTGCGTCTTTAATAAACACTCTTCATGATTTCAGAAGTCACAATTTGATTCCAAAATTATTCCATCTCATTTTTTAATTGAACTGATTATTCTGCCAAAACAAAATGCTGTTACTACCCATATTGTCTCCTAAACTGTCTTGTGATTGAAATTTAGAAAATTTTAAAACATTAACCAACATTATTTACCTGTTAATAACCGTTAAGTGTTAAGCCATGACTGAATTATCTGATCATGTGATACGAGAAAACAAGCGATCAAATAGGCATTACAAAAGCCAGATTTTTTCTTTTTTTCAACAAGTCTCTGACAGATGACACAAAACAGGATAGACATGAGCACTTGTGTTTTATTTTAATACCTAAATGAAAAACAGTAAACTTTCAGATGTTTCTAATGTTACAGACATCAATTTAGAATGGGTAGCTTGCGTGCACAGTTAACATATGAAGCACTAATATAGACCTGTTTAACCAAGGCGAAATAAAATTTGTCTATCCACAAATTGAGTTGGGCTGTCTTAGGATGAGTTCACCGATTTTCAACCAGCTCTCTATTGGTACAGTGTACAGTGCGTGCATAATTATTAGGCACGTTGATATTCTAATCATATTTTTTTTTCCAAGCACATTTGACCAATTCCAAACCACATCAATCTTAATAACTACTATTAATTTTATATTTGATCATTTATAAGTGATATATAATTGTCCATGATGGCTGGAAGTGAAAAACTCCTTATATTCAGGTGTGCATAATTATTAGGCATGTTTTCTTTTACAGATAAAATGAGGCAAAAAAGAGATTTAACTCAGACTAAAAGTCAAAAATTATTAAATGGCCATGAGAAGGATGCAATACTAGAATTTATAATTGATTTTTTATAAAAGATTTTTTAGCCTATAAAAAAATCTGTCTTAGTGTCAAAAACTTGCGCATTTAATTAGTTTCCTAGATAGAATGGTTTAGAATTGTTTCTACAACATTGTACATTATACCTTTTCTTTGTTTTAATGTGAATGTTTTGTAATACTGCAAGATCCTTTGAGTCTCTGAATTCCAGGACGAGCTTGGCATCATGCTAACATCAAACTCTATTGTGAGCTGAGTCTCCCGTGTGCTTTGTGTGAGGAGTGTTTTTGTGTGGTCTGCAGATTGCTGCCTATGTAGAGCGCTCCAGATCAGTCCGTTAAGAGCTCCCGTGACAGTCAGGATGTTGTTGCCATAGAAGCTACAGCAAAGGCAGCTCTCTGGGCTTTAGAAGCAAGCTAATGTGTCTTTCTGTCTCTCTGTGTGTAGTATGCAGACTCAGACAGCGGTGATGACTCAGATAAGCGGTCCTGTGAGGAGAGCTGGAGACTCATCTCCTCTCTAAGAGAGAAATTACCAGCCAACAAGGTCAGACACACACTCACACACACACACACACTCACACAGATACACACACACACTCACTCACTCACACACCACACACTCACTCTCACTCTCACACACACACACACACACACACACTCACTCTCTCATACACACACACACACACACTCTCTCTCACACACACTCACATGCACACACACGCACATGCTCACACACACACACTCACACACACACACTCACACACACAATGTGTAAATATTCAAATAGAATGCAGTTATTTTAAATAGCAAAAATATTTCTCAATATTACTGCTTTTGCTGTATTTTGGAACAAATAAATGCAGGCTTGGTGAGCAGAAGAAAATTCTTTAAAAAACATTAAAAATCTTACTGTTCAAAAACTTTTGACTGGTAGTGTATATATGCAGTATATGAGTATTGTGTTTTTGTGATTTTAAAATTCAGTTTTGAAAGCTCATCTTGAGACACCTGCATTCTGTTCCATTCTGTTTCACTTCATGTAGCTGTTTCTGTACTGTTAATTTCTGACAGGAAGTAAGTCTTCTGTTCTTGCTGATTGTTTGCAGATGCAGTCTATCGTGAAGAAGTGTGGTCTGCCCAGCAGTGGGAAGAGGAGGGAGCCGCTGCGTGTGTATCAGATCCCCCAGCGCCGCCGCGTACCCGCCACCCAGGAGTCCAAACACAGACTCAGCTTGGAGGAGCTTCGCACGCAGGCTGTTAAAGAGATCTGCTATGAGGTGCCTCACTGTGTTCAAGAGAAGATCTGAAATGGGAAATACAGGCACTGTTTTAATTCATGTCAGAGTAGATTTAGCCTCAGATGGGTCACAGACTGCCTAATGCATATGTGACCCTGGAGCACAAAAGCAGTCTTAAGTCGCTGGGGTATATTTGTAGCAATAGCCAAAAATACATTGTATGGGTCAAAATTATTGATTTTTCTTTTATGCCAAAAATCATTAGGATATTAAGTAAAGATCATGTTCCATGAAGATATTTTGTAAATTTCCTACCGTAAATAGATCAGATTTTTCTTTTATGCCAAAAGTCATTAGGATATTTAGTAAAGATCATGTTCCATGAAGATATTTTGTAAATTTCCTACCGTAAATATATCAAAACTTAATTCTTGATTAGTAATATGCATTGCTAAGAACTTCATTTGGACACCTTTAAAGGCGGTTTTCTCAATATTTAGATTTTTTTGCACCCTCAGATTCCAGATTTTCAAATAGTTGTATCCAAATAAATGGCCAAATAAATCCTATCCTAACAAACCATACATCAATGGAAAGCTTATTTATTCAGCTTTCAGATGATGTATAAATCTCAATTTTGGAAAATTGACCCTTATGACTGGTTTTGTGGTCCAGGGTCACATATTACACACAGAACAACAAGAGCTTTCTCAGATCGGCAAGCACCAATTTGATTGGCTATGCACTGATCATACAATATATTAATGTCTAGCTTACATGAGCAGTAGTTTACAATAACAGGAGGATATGTTTATATTTCTCCTCTTAAGGTGGCGCTTGGAGACTTTAAACACACTCGGCAAGAGATCGAGGCCTTGGCCATTGTCAGGATGAAGGAGTTTTGTCGGACATACGGCCAAAAAGACCCTCAGGAGAGAGAGAGCTGGAAAAGTGTGGCCAAGGACGTATGTGAGACGGTGGGCATCGGAGAAGAGGAAGGAGACGGGGAGGAAAGAACGACGACAGCAGCTGGAGGAGGAGCGAGCGAGCGAGGAAAGACAGATATGGGAGAGCTCAAAGCTCATATCGACAAGCTGACTGATATACTGCAGGAAGTCAAGTTGCAGAATAATATGAAGGATGAGGAGATCCAATCGCTGAGGGACCGCATGGTGAAGATGGAGAAGATATTCCCAGTCGAAGATCAGGTAACACTCGTATATCTAGAAACCAGCACAAACTGTAGCCACATTTCTCCCCAGTCCGTTCACTAAGAGTATGATGCATGTTGCAAACAAAACTGGCAAGTGCGAGCTGAAAATCTGATTGACTCACCTTATGCAACATCCAAGACTGCATTTAGACTGCAAGACTTAAGTGCACAGATCCGATCTGATTTTTCGGCCCGTCTGTTTACATTCACTTTAGACACGACTGGTATCCGATATCTGTGTTTACATTAATTCCTGTCCAAAAGGATTGCCTGCAGTGATCGCTTTACTGTGCACATGGTGGACCCTCGGGTTCTGAATGGCTGTGCTATTAAAATTATTTATATAATTCACGTCGAGTTGCGATTATTTGCCAGCATGGACAACGGCTGGCATGGATGTTTTGCAGCACAAAATCTCACCGAACGGATAAATAACGGAAAATAATAATAAATAATTTTCATTTGTTAGGCTATTTTACCTACAGCTCTTTAGAGGTAGAATTCTTTAGTGAAATAAAGTAGCGCCAAGATGATATTTATTGAAATGAATTAACGAGTGAGAGAGTGTGAAGCTCGCGAACAAGTCAAGCTTGTTGGTTTAATTGCAAAAACTTTATCACCTCATTGCTGAGAAATATAATGTAGCTTTTAGCTATTGTATTTATAAAATTCACAGGGCAGGGGTTGAAAACCAGCTGCTGAATGTACAATTTCTTACCTATATAAAGTTTTAATCTCAATAAAATGCGAGCGCATACAGCACACCGGCATTAAAACACAATCTTTATGTGCAAACGTGTGACCCTCGCATTGGGAGCTCTGCGGGGAATCAGATGTGTGTGTTTAGACATAAGTCGGATATCCAGATATCGGATATGTATCTGATTTAAAATCACATTTGGAGGTGGCTCAGGCGAAAAAATCAGATCTCGTGCGGATTTTTGTGCTTACATGTGTGCAACAAATTCTGCAAAATCAGATGTTTTGTGCCAGTGTAAACGCAGCCCAAGTCTCATCTGTTTGTGTGGTATCGGTTATTTCCGATAAACCTGCTCGTATCTTTGGTTTTGAGACTTTAGTGTTTGCAACTTTACAGATCTTCTTTATGCACCAAGAGCTTGTAACACTCCAAAGACAAAAGGAAAAATTGAAATTGCGTCATATGACCCCTTTAAAAAGAAAACCTGTGCTCCAAAGTCAAAACTGACACTACTGACTTTCTATTATTAGACAGTTTTGCTTGTGGAATAAATCATCACTGATAGAGGAAGAAAGGCATGATGTCAAGTAGTGGTCGACCACTTTATTGCCAAGGCATTTTTTTTCAATTACCGATAAACTGATAAACTTTTCTGTTTGGCCGCTAAATGTCAGTAGTTTTATTTTGAAAGTGCTGAGAGTTTTATTTTGATAGCACTAGGGTTGCAAAGGGGTGGAAAATTTTCGGTAAATTTCCAGAAACTTTCCAAAAATCCCTGGAATATTCCCCAAAATCCTGGTATATACTGGAATTTTTCCACCTTTTTGCAACCCTAGATAGCACTGAGAATGCCACAGCTTGAGCGCAGACGCACAGAATTGATAAAAAGAAAGTAAAGAGTATATAAAAGGTATTATAGCTTTATAAATTTGCAAAAATACTATAAAAGGGTCATAAAATCAAGTTTCTAAAATATAAAATATAAATGTTTATTTTGCAAGTTTATTTTTTTCAAATCACTTATTTAGTAAATTATGTAAAATAAATATAAATTTCATTTTCATCTTTAAATCAATGGTATGATGTGATATTTATACTGGCCGTTGCCAACCCTGCAGTCAGCCATCAAAACAAATCTGTATTGGTCAACCATTAATGTAATGCATTTCTTTTTTTCTTTTTTTCTTTTTTTGTTCAATTTATGTGACCCTGGAGCACAAAAGCAGTCTTAAGTCGCTGGGGTATATTTGTAGCAATAGCCAACAATACATTGTATGGGTCAATATTATTGATTTTTCTTTTATGCCAAAAATCATTAGGATATTAAGTAAAGATCATGTTCCATGAAGATATTTTGTAAATTTCCTACCGTAAATATATCAAAACTTAATTTTTGATTAGTAATATGCATTGCTAAGAACTTCATTTGAACAACTTTAAAGATGATTTTCTCAATATTTAGATTTTTTTGCACCCTCAGATTCCAGATTTTCAAATAGTTGTATCTCAGCCAAATATTGTCCTATCCTAACAAACCATACATCAATGGAAATATTATTTATTCAGCTTTCAATTTCGAAAAATTGACCCTTATGACTGGTTTTGTGGTCCAGGGTCACATATAGTTGTGAAGGTTTTTTTGAAACTGTATAAATTCAATAATACATGACGGTTTTCCACCTTCTGACTGAAACTCTCCATTTTAAGGCCTTTAGGACTTGAGTGTAAAAGCCCACTATTATGATGGCCTGGCATCTGTCTAAATGATTATGGTCTCTTTGATCTTGCTTGTGAAACTCTTTTCAAAACTCAAGAATTCTTCCAAAAAGATGTAGTCCATGCAATTAAAGGTGAATTTCATAAATATAAGGAGAGAGGGCTCTGAGAGGATTGAAGTTAGAGTTCAGTCTGACATTATTACTTACACATTAGATGTACTTATGTAACTTACTTCAGATTTCCAGGCTCTGGAGATCGTATTTCTCTTGGTTCTTGGCTCATTTTGGCGCAGATATGACTGATTCAGTGAATTGTTAATTGGAGACTCACTCGTGAGTGTTTCACTGAATCAGTGAGTTGGCTTTTTGTTGTGTGTGATTTGTGAACTGATTCTAGTTTCATGGAAAAAGATGATTGTTCGTCTTTCACGAACATCACATCATGTGTGCAGAGCAGGTCGTGATTTTGATATAATGAGAAACAATATGTTTTGATGAAACATAACGGAGTAAAAAGTAAGATTTGATGCTTTGGAATGTAGTAAAGTAAAGGTTTCCCAATACTCTGGTAAAGTACATATACCTGAAAATGGACTGAAGTACAGTAACAAAGTAAAAATACTGGTAATAGTTTATATTAAGGTGTAGTTACTTGTTACATGTACTTAATATAGTAATAACACTAAATTATGCATAATTACAAGCAACTAAACCTAAACCGAACCCACACCTTAACCTGTAGTAAGTAGGGTTGTTATAGTTAACTAAAACTAAAACCATTTTAAAAAATAACAAAAATTGTTACATGAAATAAAATGTTACCAGAAATAAAATAGTAAAAATGTAAACTTTTATTTCAGCTAGTTGATAAAGCAACACGTCTCATTTTCTACGTGTACTAAAATTGAAATAAAAATTTATAAAAATAGAGGCATTTTTAAAATAACAAAAACTAATAAAAAGGACAAAAACACACCAAAATTACTAAAACGTTATCTAAAATTAAAATGAAAGCCGAAAATATAAAAAAATCTTACTCAAAATATCATCGAAAACTGTAATAGTACTTAAATAACACTAGTAGTAAGCATGTTTAGTTAATATTACATATTAATATTTGTGTAATTACACTTTATTTTAAGGTGTCCTTGTTCCAGTGTAATTATACATTTAAGTACTGAGTAATATTAATTAACTACATGTACTTACTATATGGTTAGGGTTAGGATTAGGGTTACTTGCATGTAATTATGCATAATTAATTGTTATTACACTAGTAAGTACATGTAACATAAAGTGTTACCAAATAAAGTTTATAAAACGGAGAGTTCCGGTGCTTGATTCTGATTGGCTGAGCCGCGTTCGAAGCTGTTGTAAATTACTCTACAAACATACACCTTTGTTTACGTTTGTGTGTTGTTGGAACCACAACTGTTCCAACCACTTTGTTGGAACCACAACTGTTTCTGAGGAGCTACATTGTTTGGTGGAAGAATACTGTTTTTATTAATATCATTAAACTTTATTTGCTCTGTTTTATTTTGTGAAACCTTACTACGTATATGGAATAACCGTTTTATAAAAGCAATAAGCCCCGTGAAGCCGTGGTTTACAGTGAATTTATAACAGCTAAGGGGGTTTTAGCTGTTATAAATTCACTGTAAACCACGGCTTCTTGGGGCTTATTGCTTTAGTAACCAAAACACTCAATACAGATTACTTTGTGCACCTTTTAAGCCAATGTAAAGATTTCCGTGCAATCTATATTTCAGGGAGACGACGATGACATCGGCTTGGATGGGGTCAGAGGTGACGAGCCGCCAGCTCAAGTCGACAGATGCGACGAGGATTCTGGCTACCAGCGGGGTCGCCATCGCTGGCAGTACCCAGAGAAATATCACAACCCTAAGCGTCGCAAAGGAGCCGGCAATCAGCCAATCAACGCCCTCTACTCGGCGCCTCCCTCGGGACACTCTCAGAACAACCCGTTCAGTACGGCATCGTCTCGATTCTCAAATCCGTCTTTCTGTTCTCAGACCTCTCGCCACCCCAATGGGCCTTTCATGCCAGGCACGGGACGCTTCTTGCCACCTCATGAGAGGAAGCTACAGTTCCCCTTTAAGAATAATTCTCAGCACCGAGGCTTCATCTGGGGTCCGTCATCAGGGGGTGAAAGGGGAAAGGACCCTTCCACTCAGTCCAGTACGGATTTGATTCATACTTTCCACTCATCCCCCTCACCAAACAAAGGCCAGTGGCCAAACAGCCAGCAGTGGCGCAATCACGGGAACAGAGGCTACAACAACTGTGGGAACAGGCAACGATCCAGAAACAGGGGACGGAATCCATTCGATGGATATTTAACCAATGAACAGGCTGGAAATGCTGAGCGTAAAGACGGTGGCTCGGTCCAGCACAAGCAGGGTAGAGCGCGCTACACCTGGTACAATCCCAGCTTCGCTTCAGACCAGTCTGTTGGAGACGGATTCCAGCACAGCTACAACCAAAGCAGACAAGGTGTCTACAAACACCCCAACTCACACTACCAGCACATCCCTCCAGAGATGACCCAGCGTGGGTCTGAAGGCAATCCCAATCCACCATCCATCCCAGACTGCAGTATGGAGACCTGATTTAATCTGCGGAGACCTGGGAGCCATAACACTCTGATTCTCTTGTGCACAGTTCTCGCATGGGGCTCCTAGAAACCTCAGACCTCAGATATACGGTGTTTTGGCTTGTTGTGGAAGGATGCTGGGAGAAACTCCTTGTGCAATAAGTGCAATAACGCCTTCATGTTTGAAATGAGACTATTTTATGCAACTGAGTTTTTATGTACATATTGCAGTTTCATACCTACACCTACAGTGCTTTATGAGTGATGTTTTTCTGTGCGCACATGTTCAGATGAAGTTCTTAGCAATGCATATTACTAATCAAAAATTAAGTTTTGATATATTTACGGTAGGACATTTACAAAACATCTTCATGGAACATGATCTTTACTTAATATCCTAATGATTTTTGGCATAAAAGAAAAATGTATAATTTTGACCCATACAATGTATTGTTGGCTATTGCTACAAATATACCCCAGCGACTTAAAACTGCTTTTGTGCTCCAGGGTCACATATATTATTCAGATGTGTATATATATCTAGACGTGGGTTATAAATTGGAAGGGTATGTATTTGCAAGAGAATTGAGCTCCTTTTAACGCACAGTGCACAGTTCTGGCCTGATAAGTGTTCGGCCTATAGAGATTTCTGATGATTTTACATTGTGCCTGCTGAAAAGCCAAAGATCTTAGATTTAGTCGCCATCAGGCTCATAACTGCTTCGGATGCCATTTTTATAGTTGACATTTTTCTCCTTTTTTATCTTGGCATTCGTGTTCTTTTATTCTTGCATCCCGAGGGGCGTGTGTTTCATGAATTGTGTTGTTTGGAGGTAAAAAAAAAAAAAAAAGATTCATGATCCTAAAACAGCTAAGGGCAAACAATCAGGGAGCCAAATGCACTACTTGTACAACTACTTCTGTGTTCTGCTCAGTAAAGCTCGGGAGTTTCCGGTTAGGGTTTAGTGCACCTACATACAGACAGATTATTACTATGTTTTTTTGTTTTTTTAAGCAATTAGTCATATTCTCTGCGTTAACATGAAATATCTTCACTCAACCTGCTGAAATGTTCCTATGAATATATTTCTCTTCCAAATATGCATTCTGAATAACAAATAAATATATTTCCCCACTAACCTGCCACAGTCCAACGCTTGTCTTCACATTTTTCTCTTACTGATCATATTTCATACCTGTTGAAATTACAGTTCCCCTTCAGGAACTCGAGCTGCGTCGAGATCGCTTTGGGAACGCCCTTGCGTGACCGCGTTCTGAAGCACGTGTCAAATCCGTCCAATGGAGCAGCGAGACGTCACGAGCGGGGTGACGTCAGCACCAGAAAGTATAAAAGCGCATCCGGCCGGGCGCAAACCAGCTTCTGCTCTTCAGTAGCGCTCTGTGTATGTGTCTGTCTATTTACTGTTGTCTGTCCGCACAAGCACTCATATATATATAA